GCATTTGAGAATGTGGATGTGTAGGAATATGACTCAAACGCAGCAGGCATGTGCCTTTTACCCACATATATTTACAAAACCTTTAGTTTAGCTTTTTAAACGGTCACACAGATATCACACTCAGGTCCTGTTATTTATTGACAGTGATGTGAGAAACACTGAATTATTGTCGGGTGTGCTTTATTTATTCATATTCTTTATATTCTACATTGATTCATCTCATTACTCAAGAAAACCATGAAAAAAAATACCATGAATTCAAATAAACAATCATTCAAATAAATCACAAAGCTTTTCCACTGCCAACCGGAGCCGCCGCCGACTGAGTGGAGAATATTCATCCAACTTCCTGCGTCTTAGAAAGAGCGGGACAATAAAGCACCGAGAGACACACAAGCACTGTGGTTGAATCTCCATCGATCTGAGCTGTGAGTGAACACGTAACAAAAAGTGAAATCAAAAATAAAACACAAATAAAAGCTTTGCACTTCAAGTACAGTCTGGTGTTGAACCAGTAAATACATAAAAGCATAAGAATCTACTTCGGTCATAAACGTGAATCAGTCATAGGTAGTATTCTGTTGTTCGTTGTGCCTTCATGGAAGGTGACAGGGCTACTCCAAACTGCAGAAGCACAGGCGAGCGAGCGGCATGAACACGAACAGAATCCATCGGTGAGCGTCGGCTGGAAACTTCTGAAAGTGGCTCTGAGATATGAGGCAGTGCTGCTATATACAAAATAAATTAATCAACTCCAGCCAAGCTCCGTGTGTATTGTTAGCTTATGTTTGAGGATGAGTAAAATGTTTAAATAAGACTTGTAAATTAAAAGAAAGAAAGAAATCTGTATCCACAAAAATACATGATTTAAATAATTCAGTCTATAGTTCTCGGAGAAATAGGCCAAAAGGTGCAAAGCATGCAACAAACCAGGACGACAAGACAAACGCATCACTGTCGGTGGGAGGATTTTTCTTTACCTCTGCAGACAAACATGAAGCTCGCTGCAGAAGCGACGAGTGACGCCGGCCTTCAGTCTCTAATACTAGTCCTTCTTTTACCTCAACAAGGCACCGCAGAGCATCAGAGCTCATCTTGTGTGAAGTCGTGGACTCTGCAGGACAGTGACCCTGCTGGCAGACCCTCTGTGTCTCCATGGCAGCGATGACAAAGAAACAAAAGTCTTTTTCCCAGGTCTGAACATTAAGCTGCAGGACAAAGCTAACACAAGGACGCGAGGCAGAGAGTAGTTTTTTTTTTTTTTGACTAGCCATACGGGTACAGCAGCATTGGTCCGGTGTCGGGCTCATAGGGCGCCTTCATTGTTGAAAGGCATGCTGGGAGCCTCACAGTGTTTCTGAGGAGGGAGACAGGAGGACGGTTTGTGAAGTTAGAGATGAATTCATGTGATTAACAGGTTGTTTAGCTACAGAAAGGAAATGCTGGTCTCACCTGCTGAGCTCTCTGGTGATGGAGTGTGTGTGGAGTGGCACTTGTTTTTCTGCAGAGAGGATCAGTTTTTGAATTAATACACAGATTCAAATAACTGTCATATTCTACCAGTACTACTATTAGTAGTACTGTGACTACTAGTGGTATTTGCTTGTAAGTCTAAATTTCATCTGTTGTGAAAATCTTTAAGATTCCTTATTCC